ATTTGACAAAGAGAGACAGTGAGAGGGGGCACACAAGCAGGGGGAGTGGGAGAGGGAGAAGCAGGCTTCCCGCCGAGCAGGGAGCCCGATGTGGGGCCCGATCCCAGGACCCTGGGACCATGACCTGAGCCAAAGGCAGACACTTAATGACTGAGCCACCCAGGCGCCCCCAGCATCAATTCTGAAGTCCAAAGTTTCATCCAGTATCATCTAAGTCAAATATGGGTGAAACTCAAGTTACAGTTCATTCTGAGGCAAAATTCCTCTCCAGCTATGAACGTGAGGAACCAGATTAAGTTATATACTTCCAAAATATAATGGTAGGACAGGCACAGGGTAGACATTTGCATTCCAAAAGAGAGGGGCGCCTGCGTGGCTCAGTCAGTTAAGCATCCGACTCTTGATTTCCACTCAGGTCATGATCTCAGGGTCCTGAGACTGAAGATCAAAGAGTTGGGCTCTGGGGCGCCTGGGTGGCTCAGTCGTTAAGCGTCTGTCTTCGGCTCAGGTCATGATCCCAGGGTCCTCGGATCGAGCCCCACGTCGGGCTCCCTGCTCTGCAGGAGGCCTGCTTCTCCCTCTCCCACTCCCCCTGCTTGTGTTCCCTCTTTCACTGTGTCTCTCTCTGTCAAATAAATAAAATCTTAAAAAAAAAAAAAAGAGTTGGGCTCTGTGCTGGGCATGGAGCCTGCTTAAGATTCTCTCTCTCTCTCTCTCTCCCCCTCTTCTGTCCTCCGCGCCCCCACCTTAAAAAAAAAGGGGGTGGAATCAGAAGAAAGTTAAATGGTGACAGGACCCAAGCAAGTCTAAAACCTAGCAAAACAAATTCCATTAGGTCTTAAGGATCAAGAATAATCCTTTTTGGTTCAATGTCCCATCTTCTAGGCCCACTGGAAGTCAAGCCCACTGAGTCCAAGGCTCCTAGCAGACGCATAAGGCCTGCTGAAACTGAGGCAGTGGCCTGATCATCTCTGATTTGCCTTTGGGGTCATTTCTCCTCCTTCTTGATGAATAATCCATGTTCACAGCCACACAGCTCCATTATCCCACCTGTCAAATCCAAGAAGTCCAATAGCCTTTCTTCATTTTGCCACATCTCTGTCCCCTACAGTTCAAACTGGCAGTATTTCTGCTAGAAAATCCTGTAAACTCTTTATCAGATGGTTTTCCAGCCACACACTTAATGTTCTTTTCAGAACATGCTTCCTCAGTTTTTGCAATATGGAGAGGCTAAGAATTTTCCAAATCTTCAAATTCTAGTTCTTTTTTCCTTAACAATTCTATCTTTAATTCTTCTCTCTCCATTTACACTTTAAGCAGTCAGGAGGATTCACACTGCTCCATCAACACTTTGCTTAGAAATGTCCTCAGCTAAGTATCTAATCGCATTGCTCACAATTCTTCCTTCTACAAAACACTACATCACAGTCCAGCCAAGTTCTTTGCCATTTTATAATAAGGATTGCCCTTCCTTCAGTTTCTAATAACATGTTCCTCATTTCTGAGACTTCACCAGAATTGTCCTTAATGTCCATATTTCTGGCATGCACCTCAAGCTGCTTCTGGCCTCTACCCAGTTACAAAGCTGCTACCACATGTTTAGGTATTAGCTATTGCAGCACTGCACTCCTGGTACCCAAATCTGCCTTAGTCAGCTGGGGCTGCCACAACAAAATACCAAACAGTGGTTAGCTTAAAACAGAAATTTATTTTCTCACAGTTCTAGAAACTAGAAGTCTAAGATAAAGGTACCAGCATGGTTGGTTTCTGTAAGAGTTTTCTTTTTGGCTTGTAGATAGACACTTTCTCACTGTGTCATCACATGGGGGGGGGGAGGGGGCGTGGGTATTAGGGGAGAGAGAACAAGCTCTTTGGTGTCTTTTCTTACAAGGCACCAACCCATCACAAGGGATCTTTCCTCTGACCTCTCTAAACCTACTTATCTCCTAGAGGCCCTCTTTCCAAACACTAACACTGGGGGGTCAGAGCTTCAACATATGATTTTGGGGAGACACAATTCAGTCTACAACACAGTAGCTCAGCATGGCCCCGATAGCTTGGGTAGCAGAACATACCTTCTTTCCCCAAAGGGATGAGAGAGGAGCGCAAAAGAGAAGGAATTAAAGAAGATTCTTTGAGTTGGTGCAGTATACCAAAGGAATGCAGATTTCAGCAAGAGATTTCTCTGCTGGGGATCCTGATTATCACTTCACTGTAATAAGTTCAAGATGTGGCTATGTAACACGTCAAATTCTTTGAAGTAAAGAAAACATGAACAGAACTTTGGTAAAAACATTATGGGAAAGATTCAGGATTCTCCAGAGAACTTTGAAGCAATTTTAGAAAACCGATCCAAGCTAAACTTTACTCATTTTCTTCGAAACATAACTCTGCGACTGGGTCCAAACACCACTATGAAATAAAGGCCTAGCGGTCGTGGCTAGGGATGGGGGCTGGACTGGGGAAGGAGGACTGTGAGATGGAATCATGGCAGGGCCAAGAGAGAACTAACCACCTGGCACACACTCTTATTTCTAGACTTAAATGTTTAATGGGCTTAGAAATCAAGACAGCCAGATGTACTGTAGCTTGAGTTTAATAGGTCACGCTGATGTGAGGGGGACAAGATGAAGAAGGTAGGCTACGTGATACTGAAGGGCCTTTCCAATACTCAATCCTCTTCCTGTTCTACAAAGATGTGGCAGTGGTTTCTGGAGACTATTTGCTGCTTCTAGATGAGGATGGATACTGGCCTTGTCCTTACATAACTAAAGGGAAAGCTGGTAGCAGCGCCAGCTTCAAGAGCCCAGAAAGGAGAAAGAAAATGATTAAACTGCCATCATTCATTCAAAAGAACACAGGCCACCTAGAGCTGTAAGATTAAGGAAGAAGAATAAGCACGGGCTTCAGGGAGAAAAATGGCAAAAAGACAAAAAAAATCCAAAAGACTTCAGATAGTGCTGGAGCAAAGGAAGTAGGTATCCAGTAAGTAAGCAGAAAGGAGAGAGAGTGCTCCTGCTGAGGAAAGGTACACCAGCTTTGAGGTCCTCAGAAAAGGAAAGAGAGCATTTCAGGAAGGGTCAAGAAGAAAACAAACCCATGAGAAATCAACAACAGGAAATCAGTAATAGTGGCTGGCACTGAAAATGATCTTTACAACTCAAAAAGATCTTGTCACTTTATTCACGCTCGTTGGCACAGTGCCTAACATGTAATAGATGCACACTAAGTATGTGCAGAGCAAAAAAATGTTAGAGTCCCACAACAGCCCTAAGAAGATCCTCCCAAAAATCAGTACAGTGAGATACAACAAAATATAAACGTGCAATATAAAAAGAATAAAATCTACACTGTGGGAGATATAGGCTAGCTACAATTTAGAACAGGGACGACCTTTAGATTTGTGAAGCCCCTGAAATCCCACCCTGCTCACATTTTTTAGCAAGGCGGTTCAGAGCTTTTGATTATAATTTCAATGTGAGTTATCAGCAGTTGATATATTAAATTAATTACTGTGCTGGCAAAAGATTAGTGGGAATGTGATATATAGGATATATTCATCTACCTATCTATCTAGGTTATAGTTTCATGTGTATTTACATACCACCTCAATTGCTATCCTTTAGACATACTGTAGTGGTAAACTACAGTTCAAAGATTAAGACTAACACTGTGCCTTTGTTGTTTTCTTTATATTGTACTTCCCCGCCACCCCACAAAAGCAATTTTTAGATGCACTATCTCATTCATGTTCCTAATGCTGCCTAACAAAGTTAGGAGTACACCAAAGGCACTTATCCATTTTAGATTTTGATTTTGGTTTCTTAATAAATGTTAAAGACACTCATATTAAATATACTCAATAACAGTAAACCTTTAAATAGCAGAGAATGCAAAATATACTCTTTCAGAGAAGTTACATATCTAATGGAAAGAACCAGAGAGGCATACATACACCCTATCAATTCCGTGTAGACAGAGCTCACAAAAGTTTCTGACCTCAAACTCCCTAAGTCAAATTTCCGAGAAATAAAAACTCAAACACCGAACACCGGGGTCCTAACCATTCGCTGAAGCTCCGTTTGCTTGATGTTGAATTTTTTAAAAAGATTTTATTTATTTACTTGAGAGTGAGCAAGAGAAAGAGCGAGAGGGAGCACAAGCCGGGGAAGAGGCTGAGGGAGGAAGCAGACTACCGCTGAGCAGGGAGCCCATCCTGAGATCAAGACCGGAGCTGAAGGCAGACGCTCAACCGACTGAGCCACCCAGGTGCCCCATTGATGTTGAATTTTAAAACATTATTATTTTTCCTAATTATGAAAACACACCTGTGAACACATTATTTGTTACTGTTACTTAACCGACTCCCCTCCCCATTAAACTAGACGGAGAACTGAAAACCACAAAGATAATACACTTTGATGTGTCTTTTAAAAAATTATCATAAGTTATTACTATTACCCACACCCTCCCCCCCCGCCCCACACACACACAAAGAATCGAATAAGCCCTACGGGGAAGCAGGAACTAGAGGAGGAAGCCAAAAAAAAAAAAAAAAAATCTGTATTCGAGCAATAAAGTGCAATCTTTGAACCGCTAAACATCCCGGGGACACGTGTAATTTTTTTCTTCTTCTGGAAAGTGAAAGAGATCAAAATGCTGTAAGAAAGGGTAGACGATAAAACTAAGGTCAATTTAAAATGCCCGGAACCGTGAAAAACTATAGAGAATCCTCAAGGTCAAAGTAGCAAGAGGGGCTCCGCAGAAGAGCTTGCTCGGGGGTGGGTATTTCGAGGACTTCAAAGGACGGGAATGGGGGTGGGGTGGGAAGACAGGAGGAAAGGGGGCGAAGAAGGGGAGGCTGGAAGGAAATGGAGAAATGGGAAGGGGGCAGGCCACCAAGGCGCTGGCAAAGGAGTCGCCCGGGGGTGGGGAGGAGAAGGGGCTGGGAGCCCCGGCCCCGCCCCGGGGAGGCCCGAGCTCCCGGCCGTCCCCCTTACCAGCGGGAGCAGGAAGCCCCAGAGCAGGGCGGTCGCGGCCGTACGCAACGGCCGCTGCGGCCCCATCAAACTCCTGGGCGCCCGGCGGCGCGGCGCTTCTCGGCGGGCACAGGCTCCGGGTCCCGCCGCGGCGCTGCCTCCGTGGCCGGGCCGGACGGGCGCGGACGGCAGGGGTAGGCACGGGCCGCCGCTGCTGTTGGGGCCGCCACTGCAGCGCCGACTTCCTCTTCCGGCTCCGCCCAGAGGACGCGGAAACCCCCGCGCGGGGCACGTGGAGTCTGGGTCCGCGCGCGCCGCGAGTCGGGCTGTTTCTCGGCGCTCTCCGGTCCCGGCGTTGGCAGGCTGACGAATGTGGGTCTGGGCGTGTCTCTTTCTCTTTCCAGCTGCCTGACCTGAACTCTCCCCAGAGTCCGGGGAGGGGGGGAGGGGCGCCCAAAGCAACTTTTTCCATACCCTCTTCCTCCTAGGAGTCACCGTGCGCCTGTTCTGTACTCCAGTACCGACCCGGGCGTCCGGGCCCAAACTCTGCGTGCGCTGAGCCTTAATTCATCTGCCCACCGGCAGGTCCCGGTCACTCACACGTATATCCCAAATACGTCCACTGGGTCCCAAACTGCTGCGACCTCTGTATCCAGATGTTTCTCTCCTCCAAACATCTGTTTGACTCCGGGAGGCCCATTATCCACATACCAGCCCTAGATATAAATCAGATCATGTCACTCCCCATCGCACTTAGCACAAAATCAAAACTCTACTCTGGCCTACAAAGTTCACATAGTATGGTCCCTGTCTTCTTCTCTGACCCCATCTTCACCACTTTCCCACGCTTTACATCCACATGGCCACCTTTGGTTCTTTTGTACTGGTAGTCCTCCCCCCTGGAAAGTTTTTCTCAATACCGGTTCATTGGCATTCCCTGACATATACCCATCGAAAGGAACCATCCAGTCGCTTTCATTACCACGTGGCTTATTTTAATTCTCTGTAAAGCACTTTTCACTCCTATTCTCTTGCTTATTTATGTGTTCATTTAAGTGCGGTGTCGCCTCCCACTTAATAGCAAGGAGTGTCTTTGCTTTGTTCACTGCCATATCCCTCATATCTACAATATCTGGCATAAAGTAGGTCCTCAAATATTTGTTGGATGAATATTTAATTCTAAACACTGAATAGGATGCTCTCCCTGCCATCCCACAGCTGAGTTTATTAGCAAGGGACACAGATGTGTGAACAAACATAGTTCAGGATGAATAGTGACTCTTTCGTTTGCACAAGATGCCACGGGAGTACCAAAGGAACATATAAAAGGGGTGGCCAGGAAAAAGTCCAACCTAAGCTGAGTCTAGAAGGGTGAGTTAATTTTAGCCAGGCAATGGGCAGGGAAGTGGGAGGCTTCCAGGAAGAGTGAACCATTAGTGTCAAAGCCAAAGGTGACCTTGGAGGAACTGTAAAACTTGGGCTTGGCTGAAGTTATGAGTGGGGAAAGATGAAGTGAGAGAAGAGGACAGAGGCCAAATCACAAACAGATTAGGACATCCTACTTGGGACTTTAGGCTTCAGCCAATTGTTGGTGGAAAACAGATTAATAATAATTAGAGCAGTGACAATTTTTGGTTTAGAAAGCTCTCTGTGGTGGCAGGCGGGGTGGCAGTTGGATTCAAACAGGGCAAGAGTGGGAGCCAGGAAACCTGTTAGACAGCTGTGGTAACCTAACCCGGGCCAAGGATAGTGAGGGCCTGAACTGAGACGGTGACAGAAGAAATGCGGAAGAAGAGATGGACCTGAAAGATTTGTAGTAGAATCTGGTAACTGAGAGGACATGGGAGATGAAGGAGAGAAGGAGAGGGATGATTGCTAAGATCCTGTCCTGGGCCATTTATTGAGATGATCACCACAGGAGTTGGGGTTGACGGGGGAGGACACACAGAAATATTTTGGACATGTTTTGAAATTCTTGTAGGACATCCAAGTCAAATGTCTCCAGGTTGATGGCTTGGTAGGTTGGTACTAAGGTTAGTGGTACAGTGAGGCCACAACACAGGTCTCCTGCCTGTAGATCCTAGACTCTTTTTCACACTTTCTAGCTGCTGAGGGCAAGCAAGTTTCCTCTTTAGTAAAACGGCTGTGATGGACTAGATGACTTCATCTCTAAATATTCCCTCCTGCTCATAGTGGCACTTTGCCTAGTGAATCTCCAGCGTGGCTCCTGAGGCTGTCTGAGGATCTCTGGTTTCCCTGTCTACATGTATGCCCAGTTTTCCTTCTCAATTGGAGAAAATTTTGTGCTTGCAGCCAAAGAAACTGTGTTATAGGCCAGTTCCTTGTACAATCTCTCTTTGCCTGCTTTAGTTTTCTCAGCTGAAAAATATGGACAGTTAATACCTGTACTGCCTGCCTCACATGATTATTGTAAAAATTACCTGGTTTATAATGTGGGTAAAATTACTCTGAAAAAAAAAATTTTTAAAGCAGGAGGAGAGGAAGAGAAGGAGAAAGAAAAGAATAGAAGGCTGTCTTATTGCTGTCATCCAAAGTATCAACATTGTCATAATTCCCCTGCCAGAATGGTGTCTCTTTGGTCAAAGTCCCTATGTAGGATGAGGTGAAGGAAACTGGGAGAGTTAATGGAGGATTAAAAGATTCTTGTGTAATGACTTGACTACTGGAAAGGCTATTAACACTTATTTGGAGGATACTTCTGTGTATCCTCCATATGAATTTCCCTGTAAGAATTAGGTATGATAGAGAGTACCAGGATAAGTTTTAGTCAGTATTTTTCTTCCACAAATAAACTATGTATAAAAATCCAATTACAGGAGCACCTGGGTGGCTCAGTCGGTTGGGCATCTGCCTTCGGATCGGGTCATAATCCTGGGGTCCTTGGATCCAGCCCCACGTTGGGCTCCTTGCTCTGCAGGGAGCCTCCTCCTTCTCCCTCTCCCCCCGCCAACTCGTGCTCTCTCTCGCTCTAAAATAAATAAATAATCCAATTAACAGAAAACAAATATCATTAAAGATCATTTTTATTTCTAAATATACTTACTTAATGGAATTTTTTCCAATGATAAAATATAGAATGTTGTAGGTTGTTAGAACCTATGTTTTCGTCTAAGTGGTTTATAGTTTGTGGTCTTATGTTTTAAGTCTTTAAAGCATTTTGAGTTGATTTTTGTGCTTATCACTCTCTTAATGGGAATAATGATTACCATCTCAGTCTCAGTAATTATCTTGTCCACAGATAAAAAAGCTGCTTAGAGTTTCCTGGTAATGCTTTTATGTAAAGACTACCTGGCTTTGGTGAAATGCTTTCCTCTTCTAATACCTGTTTATGAGGCATTTCTCCTTGAGGAGGACATGTGACTTGAATGCTTCCTGGTTCACAAGAGGTGACTAGGAGCAGAGAGGCGAGCCAACAGCTATGGTTTCATCACTAGGTCTTCTGTTGGCCTGTTCACATATATTTATTACTGTTATTGACAGAATTCCTCCCCATTGGAGTTATGTCAATCAGTCAAACACAGTTGCCACTTCCTACATGAGAGGCGAATTTAAATTCAACTTGAATCTTAGGGAGCGCAGAAGAGTGTTCAGTAGTTGAAAATATTGGGAGAAAGAATTTCCTAATTCTCCTCACAGTTATGGAGCAACATGTGACCTAAGGTGATAGACCAAAATTCAAGCTCTGGTCACTTCTCTTAGGAAATCTTTGAAACTTGCAATAATGGAACTTCTTCCTCTTCTCCTCCTCCTCCTTCTTCTTTAAAGATGTACTTATTTGAGAGAAAGAGAGAGAAAGAGACAGAGAAAGCAGCAGGGAGAGGCAGAGGGAGAGAGAGTCTGAAGCAGACTCTGCACTGAGCACGGAGCCCAATTCGGGGCTCCATTTCAAGACCCTGAGATCAGGGCCCTGAGATCATGACCTGAGCTGAAAGCAAGAATCGGATGCTTAACCAACTGCACCACCCAGGCACCCCAACAAGGGAACTTCCTGAATGCAACACCATGCAAAGTTTAATAATAATGTCTTATAAGATATTGTTGTTATTATTTTAAAGCTCACATTTACACCTGTTTTTTGCATACATTATCTAATGTAATTCATTTGAAGCAATTTTATGAGGTAAATTATTACTTTCATTTTGCAGATGAGGAAGTATATAGGTCAAATTATTCATATGAAATCCCCTACAAGATATGGCGCAGGAACTTAAACCCAGTCAGATAGGATTCTGGAAAGATAGTGCAGTGGGGAGCATCCAGAATCTGTAAATTGGATTCCCCTTTGTATAATTATAGGTGCTCAATAAATGTTTGCTTAATTAAGAACTTTTGCCAATAATTAAGAAGCCTGTGTTGTCGTTTTGAATATTTTTAGGTTCAACTAAATTACTGCTGAAGTGACTTCTAAAGCTTAAACAGGACTAGACTTTGAGGAACCATTGGCTCTAATTTTTAAGAAAGTCAGTTCTTTTATTTTTAAAAAAATTTTAAAGATTTATTTAATTATTTGAAAAAGAGAGAGAGACAGGTGGGGGCAGAGGGAGAGGGAGAGAAAGAATCTGAAGGAAACTCCCTGCTGAGCTTGGAGCCTGACACGGGGTTTGATCCCATGTCCCCGAGATCATGACCTGAGCCAAAACCAAGAGTCAGACGCTCGACCGACTGAGCCACCCAGGCGCCCCTAGTTCTTTTAATTTGCTTAGAAAAATCTGAAGGTCTCCTCATTGGTAATAAGGAGGAAGAAATTTAAGTAGCAGGCTCAATATTAAGATGATTCTTTTGAGTCTTAAGATTATTAAGCCCAGAAATATATATATTTTAAAGTTATGTAACTTTTTGAACATTTTAAATTTACCGAGTTCCTGATAATAGATTTTTTTCCTTCCAGGTTATATTTTACACTAAAAATGAATAAAGATAACTTGATACGTATGTACAATAACATTATAGACTACTTATGAATTCTTTGAATAAGTTGTTTTATAAAAAATTTCTGAAAGAAAGTGTATTGTAAGCTACAGTTATATTGTTCCTGGTGTTGGGGCGTAACAAGAGGTGCTATTGTCTATATAAATCACTGTGACTTCGAGGCAGTGGTTGATTTTAATTTTTTTTTAAAGATTTTATTTATTTATTTGAGAGAGAGAGAATGAGAGACAGAGAGCACGAGAGGGAAGAGGGTCAGAGGGAGAAGCAGACTCCCTGCTGAGCAGGGAGCCCGAT